GTTTGTTCACAGGCGGGCGGGGCGCATGGGGGTACACTGACGCGAACCACCATCCCACCCTCTTCATCGCATTTGGCAGGCCTGCTACCGCCACTGTGTCCAGACAATAGAGGAATCGTGAGTAAAGACGTGCGTACACATACACACGCTCGCGTTGGTCAATTTCGATGACTGATAAGTGATATGACCTTTTGTGCAAAGTTGTCTTGCCATATTGTCATGCAACAAGTGTGTGTACATGGTGACTCATTGATCCNCGATGGAATAGCGACACTGACAACACTGGGGCAATCGAATGAAACTGCGGTTCGCATTTCTTTCACCTTGTTCCCAGCGAATCCTCTTTCCCAATCAATCATCTCCATTTTATGACCTTGACCGTCGCCAAACAGCTGATTCTCACTCAGCCTGTCAACTGATCGATTGATAATAGTAATAATAATATGTATATAATAGTAGATTAATATGTACTGATAAACATTCGATGCGGGTGCTTCAAGTTAAGTTTCCCTAGGGAAATTACCTACCTGTTAATCGAACTTTCGAAAGTCAGGGAAGAAAAAAAGCATTATGTATCCTGACTGTGATTCATCATAATTACAGTGCAGTGAGAAAATGGTGTGGTATAATTGAATACTCGAACCAGCATAAAATGTTGTCCAATTAGTAATGATGAGCGTGCGGTTGACTAAAATGTGCACTGGTTGGAAAATAACTGCGAGTTTTGAGTTGCTGACAGTGTGCGATGTTTTATTATTACCCACCCCGACCACACTTTATTTTCTGCAAGTTGTCAGGCACTAAATCATCCAGTTTTCAGTGAAATTTGATAGAATGACGATACGACTAGAGTATATAAAAAGCTGGGGGTGGGTGGGGTGGAATGAACCACGATTAACCCCATTCTGAATGCATACACTCTGTAGATGATTGCGTAAGTGAACTAAGTCATCCATACTTCAAATGTGTTGGGTGATATCCATTTCTAAAATATTGCAAGCTGTTCTCACATTTCACACATGGTGGATAGATGACGATCACCAAGGTCGAAAGAGAGTCGAACGGAATGTGGTTCGAGACTATTGGAGTTGGTAAAAGTATAGCACTCGCTCAGGAAGAACCTGGCAATGTTGTTAGAGAGATTTTTCGATAACAGCGGGTTTTGGGCAACATTCGGGCTGATCCATATTGGTACCCTGATGTGCATAAACGTGGAGTACAACGAAGGATCTCTGATCAAGATATGGGACGATTCTTACGTATCGAAGTTGCAGAGATCGTTATAATTGAGTTTGAGTGTGCAAACTGTAAAGCAAATGACGCAATCCGCATCACCTGTACGATTCCGGAAGTTGAGAATAGTACCTGACCATCATTTGAGCGTAGAGCTGCGTAAGTTAGAAGTTACAACCCTTGGATTTTCGAGTAAAACAGCATGCCATTCGGCGTCTGGAAAAACTTCCATCTCAACCGATCTACGTAATAGCAAGGNCCTTTCTCATAGTCTTTTGCCCCCCCCCCCTATATACTAAACGGCAAGTTTCCCCTAGAGCTTCTCAAGACAATTCACTCGCACTTCTCTGCGATTCCGGCAAATTGACCGGAAATCATAGATTTCGAATACCACACCACTTCCTTACATACCTACCTTACTGGAAGCGTGTGGCGGCGGCATTAGAGCTTCAAAACACTGGACTGGTTAACTCACAGCAAGGACACACACCTAGTGGTACTGAATCACAATTTCATCAGGCTTGTTAACCATGAGCAACAGTGAGTATTCCTCAAACTTGACAAATCCGACAAATCGGAATTGCAAGGTTATAAATCCCAAACGTTTCCACCAAGCGAACTGGACTGAATAAGGCATTTGACTTCATATCTTACGTCAAGACTGGGTTGGTCCAGCACTCTGCCTCGCTCTACTGAGTAAATAATAGAGCAAGTGGATAAGTTTTATTACTTGGTCAGCTATATTCCACCCAGCGGACGTATCACGGACGAAGTGTCAGCTCGCATACAAAAGAGTTGACTGTCATTTGCCAACATGAGACATCTGCGACGCAGTCGCGACATCCGGCTGTCTGTTAAGGGTCGAGTATATGCTGCAACAGTTCGGCCGGTTCTGTTATACGGTGCAGAAACTTGGCCATTAGGAAAACAGGATAAAGACAGACTGTGGGTGTTTGAACACCGTCATCTAAGCAGCATTGCACCAATCTCATGGGGCAACCGGACGAGTAATGCCGAGGTTAGGCGCAGAGTTTTAGGTAACCGCGGTTTCCCACTAGAACAAGAAAGGATATGTGCCGTCATGAAAACCGGAGGATCTGCCTGTCCTACTGATTATGCCCCGCAAAGATGTCTCATTTCCAAGACATGTTTCCCTAATTGCTGCTTTGTATTGATTTGGTTTCTTACTACTCGAATATGAGGATTTTGTTCCATTGATTATTTTCGCTTGTTCTTGCCATGTTTTCTCATTTTTCCTTACTAGGAATCAGAGACAGCAGCAAGAAAACCAAAGCTAAAAATGCTTGTGATAGAAGACTGATTACCTGCCACTCTTCATGCCGTTCTTTGGGAAAAGTCAACCCATTCATTGGTCACGACGACCTACCACGTAGCTGTGACAGTTGTTAGCTCGAATTCAGTTATTCGGAGTACAGGATTTCATATGGTCCCTAGGGAATAGGCAAGACACTAAGCCGGATGATACCAGAGTCACCTTCGGCACACGACCAAAGCAAAAGCGATGCATTTCTTCAACATCTGTGTAGGACACTCGAAAAAGCATCCTTCAGGATGCTAAATAAGACAGGGTGTGCAAATTCTTCAAACACTGGTTCATCACGAAACTGAGGAGTAGCCGCGACAAGTGTTGGGTAGCAAAATGTGAGCAGTTGGAGGAAACTGTGGCTATGGGTAAATATCTCGTAGAACACAGGGAGATAAATATGTAAAGTAATCACAATCAAATCTACCCAAGTTTTGTGTGGTTCATAATCTATCCCGTTTGTTCTATTCACCGATGCGTATCGCAATTTGTGTCACCTCGAGGAACGGCGACACATGATATGTATGCGGATATCGTCTCGGCAACCTTTTATTTCTTCCAGTTTTAATCGTTTATGGAGCCCCGTTGGGACAATAATCTGTTTGCTCTGTTCTCGGTCGAGTTGCTTTCTCGAACCGCACATTCGTCCCATCTCCTTCGCTCTCTCCTCCCCTCCCCCGCACACACGCTGGAGAAAACACTATTC